ATAATATATATATCTAAAGTTGACATGAACATAAACAGCATCTATATTATACAAAAATTATTTTCTACTTTTAAAAACTCAATAAGACTATCTTCTACTCTTAAGAACGCTACATCGGTAAAAACATTAATTTTATATTGTGACTTAATAAATTCATTTAATTTAAATCATATTGAAAATACAAAGATTCGATTAACTCTTGTGCATTTCGAAGATGCGTGCTTGTGACAATAAGACGAAGTTGTGGGATCCATTTCGCTCAATTTTCGATCAATGGAGAACGAGAAGCGAATTCTGTTGGACAGAAGTTCGTGTACCGCGCGATCATCAAAACAGGATCCGAAGCCAACTTCCACCTCTCAATGCTCGGTAAATAATAAATATGAATACATAAAGAGCAATCTTCTGTATCAAGGTAAAAGAAAGTTCGTATGATAATAATTGCAGTACAAATTCGTGAATTTACAAATTATAGATTGCAATTATAACTTATTAGTTTTTATTAGTTGTAATTAAAAGTAAATGTAACAATAAAGTATAATAAAAGTTAATAAATGTAACTGTGTGTATATATAGAGTCAATTTTGGAGTTCGTTGCAACCGCCCACGTCCGACTATAACACACAAGATGGCGATGAGTTTGCAAAGGAGGAATCTAACGAACATCTCGAGACTTTGAAATTCGCGTTTCCAAAGAAGGTCAAGGCTCGTGGACAAAGAAAAGCGAACGTCAACAAGCGTAGAGTCACGTTCGCTGATTAAACTCATTCGCGCGACGAGCATTATGTTACGTTACATTAAAAACTGCAGTAAATGCAAATATTGTATTACACACATTCGACCGACGCCCGATTTTTCTGCATAATAAAATTTTTCGATTTCAAAGGAACGAATACAGATGATGCGGTTTTATTGTCAGAAAATTCTGTAACCGATATATTAACAATACTTTCGATCATTAAAAGAAAAATATTATACACAGTGTTCTTGTTTGCTGATAATAATAATATTTTATTTATATTACTTATATTCGACTTGTCCAATAATGTTGTTTAGAAAATGTGATTTTCTCAAATTTTTCGATGTGCGATATTTTATTAGCAGACATTTAAATATTTATCTAGCCGATCGACCGTCGATTGTTGAATGCAATGTCATTTTTAGAGCGATGTGTTGAAAACTTCAAACCATTTTTGACATTTATAACAAAATTTTCTGTATTATTCCAAACTTTCAAAATTCCAAGTAGATCGAAATTTAAACTATTGTAATTAAATATTACATGAATAAGAATAAACATGAATGGATTCAGGATATGGGCATTGCATGATCTATCATATATTCTGTCAACTAAATCCTTGCAGGTATTCTACAAAATTAACCTCTCTTCAATTAGTAAAAAAATTAATTTAATTAAATTTAGTTATAAATAATGTGACAAGAAGATATTAAGTCTTATAATAATATTTCCAAAAAGTTTCAATAATTTGTACTTAATTTTTTAAAAATAAATTATAATTGAAAATAATATGTAAAAAATCTGATCAAAATTAATCTACGAAGAAAATTATTTTAAATAGAAAAATATTCAATTGTGTTTATAAATTGAATAATATTTTTCTTTACGACACACAAATTAGCATGAAACGCACGCGCCCACGAATACATTTAAACGTTGTCTTTCAATTTTCCTCAACTCCTCTTGCAAGCAAGAGAATGCTCGTGAGAGCAGAAGAATTAATTTAACAACAGTTTCCAATAATCTGGAACCTATCTTTACAACATGGATGGCTTTATCTGAAATCACGACATCCTTCAGTTCTCGATCGCCCACATATTTTTTGCCTTTCTCTTTCAAAGTGAATACGGAAATAACGCGTCCAGAGGCATTGAAACCTCCCATTAAGTACAAAGAGTTATTAGATGGAAATCCAGTATCTAGAAACAGATACTACAAAAGGCTTCCAAACATTCAGGCTAATGATTTTATGTATAATGACAATACTGTGATAAAATCTGGTAATGTCCACTGCGATGACTACCGTTCAAAAATAATGTTCACTCTTCAAGAAAGTCAAGAATCCAAAATTAATCATACAATCGAGCAAGAGGCAACTGATTTATTGATTTGTACCACTGGGAAAAATTTGGATTCTTTATCTTTCGCAAAGTTAGAAACAAAGTTAGAAATCAAGCAGCAAGAATCACGAGATCAGTTCAAATTACAGGATAATCAATATTCACGAAAATATGACTTGTCGCAATCTCCAGAAGTTTTGAACATGCAAAAAGATCTTTCGAGTACGAAACAACAGATTCAGTTTTCACACACTTCTCGATACGTTTTACAAACGCCTACAAATATCTCCAACCCATTGTCATCTTTATTTGAAACATTGAGAATATCATCTCGATTTGGTAATTTGGCTTACTCTGGAAGTTTGGGAAATCAAGAATTTCGAAAGACTTCGTTGTGTCTACCTTCTGTACCGCATCGTGTTTTCTCCTCAAGAAGTTGCACCATGATTCAGCAATCTATTCGAGAGTTTGAAAATTTGAAGAAGGATCAGAATGCGAATACATCGATTATTCGTTTGAGAAACACGCGATCGCATCCAGGTATCTTGAAGTCTTAGTTATAATAATTCTTAACTTTTTAAATTTATAGCTTAAAACTTCTGTCTATTCAGTACAGTCATCTTGGATCATAACAAAGTGAGAAAAATATACTGTATTAAAATGTGAGTATTTTTTAATAAAACAACATTTTTAATAGAATAGAGTTGTAAAATATACCTTTGTATTCTGATAATCAAATAACCATATATTTGAAATTAAATTATACCTAACCAAAAAACAAAGCATAAGCTGTATTACAGCTATCAAATTGAGATAAATATGATTTTATTATATTTCGGAATAAAAGAAGAGTTTTCGCGATATTTTACAATACTCTATGAAACACAAATATTGTTTTATTCAAAAATATTTTTATTTTAATATATTTAATATAGTTAAAAAAATTTTATTTTGAACGTTCCTATTTACTTTAAAATTTTCATTATGTTGTTTCGCTTCTGACATTATTGGTCTACAAATTCGTAATGAATAGACACACAAGAGCCTTAAATAATCCTCAATTTAATTCTTCGTTGCTACATCTCTTTTTCAGTTCGCTTACACTGGGTGACTCACACTCAGAAAATGTTTAAACAATTGATATTTCTTATTTAAAGAATATATTCAAATAGGTTTTGATTAAAATTTCATTACAGTTTTTGTGAAAAAAATTCTTAAGTTCAATGAATAAAGAAAAATCTTTGAAAAATTGTAACTTTTAAAAAATTCAATATTAAAAGTTAAAAATTTATAGAATTGTTATTCAGATGATACTTTGAAAAAAAATTAGTTTGTAAATTGATTTTAGATAAAGGGTATTTATTTTGCATATTGAATGTAGGCTATTTTGAGAATTGAAAAAACAGAGATGTTTTTATAAACATTATATTTTTGTTCTACAAAATAAAAAAAAATTGAGTTTCAAAGAATTAAAATATTTTTGTGGATTACACCACACAGTATATGTCAAGGAAGGGTTAATATTGTTTGAATATACATATGTGCATACAGTAATTCAATGGAAAGCGTTTAATAATTAGTTTGCAACTAATATTAATAATATTAATACACTAACGATTGATATTTAATGAGATTGACAATCGCAGATCGCGTTTCTCTGATGAGACTGCAATCGTTTTCCTGCGACACTTCAAAATCAAAAAAATGCGCCGATTACGAGAAGGATGATAAATCACATCGATCGAAATGCGAAGATGAGATCGAGAATGATTACGATACGTATTCTCAAGACATTGCAAGACGTTGCTGGATGGAAAGTAAAAAATTCTGCGGGAAAACACAACGGAAGAACACGTGCGCTTCGTCTCAAGACGTGAATGAGAAACAACAAGAGAGAAACTCTAATCTCAACAAAAACTACATGTATGCCAAACTAAACCAAAAAAGGCTACACAAGAAGGACAAGAAGCAATGTTTTGGGAATCAGAAGTATGATGAGAATAACGCACAAGAAAGACTTTTGTCAAAGAATTGCACAAGGCAAGATTCTTTATTGAGAGATCGAGCATCGAGAAATTCTAATTGTTCACAGAAGCAAGATATTGATAGAAGCTGTAATAAAAATAACGCAGATCGACATAATCGTTGTTACAATAATAATAATAATAATAATAGTAAGTAACAATAGTAGTAATAATTCTCATTAAGAAATAAAATTTAATTTAATATTCACGTGATACTTTATGAAACATCTGAAATTGATGTATATATTCAGAAATAGTAGGTCAAAATTATTATTGTTATTGTCATCATTATACTAACATTAGCTGCCTAATTATGATTTAGCTTTAGTATATCTTGATGAAATTTTATGTGTATTGATTTATCCATTTTCTAATTTTCCTATTTCCTTTTCCATGTATTGTATGTTTTTATATCTTTTCTTCACTAATCTATTAATTTATTTTGGTATTTATCTCTATTTTTTTACTATATGTTTTATTTTAATATCCTAATCAGGACGGCAATCAAAATATAAGCAATATGACGATTGCGAAAAAGCTGATAAATCACATATAACCTGTAAAAATTCCATGAAAAAAACATATAATTTTGAATCAAAATGCAAGAAGCAACGTGTAAAGTGCAACAATGAGAAAGAAAATGCAGGACGAAAATGCACCGGAAACAATCGAAAGCGATCTAACAGCTGCAAAAGAAATTCCTCCCGAACGTGTGATAAAAGTTGCAGCAAAGTAGACGGAAAGCGATATTACTCAACAAGCGATGTTACGAAACAGTCAATTTTCTCCGTTCCGCGGAACCGTAAATCTTTCTCCAATTCGATTTCCGATATCACTCTCGGCATAAATGTAAATAAAAGATTTTATACTAGCAATGTCAGCTACAGCAAAGACAAAAAAGATCAAAGACAAACTTCGTCTTGTAAGGAACCAAAAATGAAGGACGAGAAAAAAGAGGAAACTAAGAAAAAGTGCGTGAAAGGTCCTGCTAAATGTATATCGAGAAAAAAGACTACTGATAAGACGCAAATCTGTCAGTCTACGAAAAAAGACAACAAATTTTATGAATCCGAAAACTTCTATAAGAAGGAAAGTACCAACAAAGAAAAAGAACTTAAAAGAGGTAAGATAAACTTAATTTAATTATTTAGATAAACTTAATTTAATTATAGTTATTATACGAAGTGTTTTGAGATCTTAGGGATGAACTTTAAGGGATGATAGATCTTAAAAGAAACAACTTTTGTTAAGAACTAACTTTGTTAAGGACAACTTACATTCTCCCCGATGCATTGTTAAAGAGCTATGCATCTCTATTTGCACCGAATGTGAGATATATATAATCGATAGCGCGGCAGCATTACATTGTCCTCTGATGATACTAATTTAAGTTTTTGCTTTTTTTATTGTCTTTTGTAAACATAAAATCAAAAGATGTAAGCTGGTATTGTCAAATATAATGCGACCAGACGTATAGGTCCTTAAAAATGTATCAGTTAATAGTGTTGACTGATAAAGTTTGCGTCTAAGATCTTAAAACATCTTATATATTCTAAAATTTTTAGAGTGAATTGTTATTTTGAAGAGTGACTCCCTTTTAAAGATAAAAATCTCTTTAATTTTTTTTTGTATTATAATACAAATTTATAGAAATTCTTCAATTTTGTTAAATTTTTAATTAATTATTTTTTTGTAGATGAAAAGCTTAAAGAAGAATCAGTGAAAGCTCCTCCATCACCTAAAGTTTATGAAAGAATTATGGGTTTTTAAAATTTTTTCTTATATTATGATTCATGAAAGAAGAACAACTAAATTCTTGTTATAATAAATTCCTTACTTGTTCGTTGCAGATAAAAAGTCTATGGAACAATTGATGAAGGAACAGATAGATCGCGAATACAGAGAGATAGATGAATGTAAGAAGGATTTTAAAAAAGACGAAAAGGGCAATAAAATCAAAATGATTTCCTTAGAAAAACCGACGGGCTTGGATTGCATGATCAATTCATACAAAAAACAGGAAAAGCAGGATATCAAATTTATAAGCACACGTAATAAATCAATCATTTCTATGGACGCCGTGCTTAAGTGGTTCAACATTCAATCTAGGATTATTAATGACACGATTCCAATTATTGCCAAGTTAGTTCTCTCGCTTGGATTTTACTTCTATTGGCAAATGTGTTTTCAAAATTTGAAGATTAAATAATTCAGAAAGAATAATATTCTTTAAAAATTCTATGTCCAAATATTTTTTATTCTGATTAGTAATTTCTCTAATTTTTTTGTAATTTATGTTGTCGAGATTATTCACATTATCTATTTTATCGTAACTATACATTTGCGATCAATGATCATTTATCGCTGCAATAACGAGTTATTTCATACAACGTAATTATAGGCATGTCGGACTGTTCAATGTAATGTTTGATCGATCGTTCTCTACTGCAAAACTGGATTATCAGGATGATTTTGCTATCGGACGAACTATAAACGATGATAAAGTTCAGAACTATTCTGCGAATGGCGACGATTTTCATGGTGATGAATTGCCGAATTATATTGAAACAGAGTATGAGGATGAAGAAGATAACGTTCACGAGGATCACTAACCGACCGGTTTCCAAAATCAATCGAATCTTACGCAAAGGTCACAGTAAATGTTAATTTAATATAAGTAGTAAAAAAAAGTTTTATTACAATTGTTTTACACTTTGTCATAATATGATATCTTTAATGAATGTTGATGATGTAATAAATAAAAAATTAATTCGGCTTATAATGATTATATTTTGCTCTTTTCAAAATATGCACTTGAAAAATATCTGCGCTTTTTCTTTAAAAAACAATGCCTGCAAGCACGCAATTTTCTTATGACGCAATTTTCTTATGATACATATAAACGTAACTACTTTCCTCATATGAACATATAATGGCGTTAGTAAATATACATTTGCATACGAAGGTATCTCGTTTTCAGTCAAGAACATTGTGATCCTTTTGATTATACGGTAATCAATTACTTCATGACATTACTTCGCTATAAATAGTAGTTGATCATGCCCCAATAATACTTAACCAGATTTCACTTTGTAGACGATAAGATAAAATTACTCTTCAGCATGACTTGGACGTCGATTACTCCCCGAGGGACAGATACGAGTCGAACGAGTGAAACGCAAATGCGGAGCCTTACGGGGATTTTGTTCCTTCACGAGACGTCTTTGTAGCGCGACGGAGGCGTGAATGGCAGTGGGCCAGGAGGCCCAATTATGAGTTATTCAGTCTTCGCCACGGGGCACCGCTCTACTGTCGGTGTATGCACCTACCTGGCGCCTCCCCCTTCATCTCGTGTGAGAGTGAGAAAGAGCGAGAAAGAGCGTGCAAGCTGCGGGGACGCGAGACGGGACGACGGGGGTTGAAACGCGTAATGTATGGGGTAGAGAACGTGAGGACGTCTCTGCGGGATTCCCTCCGCCACTTATGGGAATGCGATACGAGCTTTTCGTCGGATGCTCTCTTGCGTTTTCGCATTGTTACGCAACCGTCCTTCTCGCGTCTGCGTCACCCTCGTGCACTCCGACAAAGGGAATCAATGTCAATGCGCGTTGCCATGCCATGTACACGCTCCGGAGAGGACAAGGAAAGTGAGAATGCTGAAATGATGATTGAGAGTATGTAATAAACGCGGATTAAAATCGTTATGCTATAACGATCACGCAAAGTGTCAGTTCTTTAAATTTGTTCAACAAAATTTTTCGAATTCTTACCATTTTAATAATATAATCATTAGATTTGTGCAATTATTCTATATTTGTTATCATCTCTTTAACAAGAAATTAATTTGAGATTATTAATATAATTTGAACTGAATTTGCCATCATTTCAGGCTTCTGTTCACTCACTACTGTACATCTCAGATTGTGGCGTCAAACGAGAAAGTATACAATAAAAATCTTGCAAAATATATTATAATAATATGGAAAAATGTTTCAATAAAATAATATTTATAATCGATAAAACCGACTTGTAAAATACATTAAAAATTCTTCTTTCATTAATTAATAAATAGCCCTACACACACATATATAATATATATATATACATATATAATATATATAATATATAT